TCCACAAAGTTTTGATTCTGGATTGTTTAGGGTTATACTTTGCTGCTTTTTTCCCTCCATTGCTTGCTTTAAAAACAAAAACAAACAAACCATTATGTTAACTATTCTTTATCATATCTGAGATATTTCCTAGAATTCTCTTGGATTTATTTTTGTCCTTGCTGGAGTTTACTCAGAGAGGGTCTCCATTTGGTAAGCCTTGTGAATTTTAGTATGCTTATAGCTAAATTTATTTTATTGTTATATTAAAATGGTATTTTATCTCTATGTAAAATTCTAGCTTCAAAGTTTTATGGGGTTTTCTTTCTTTAAAACTATCTCTCTAATGCCTCTGGTTTCTAGTGTTGGTTTTGAAAAGTCAGATGTTCATCTGATTCTTATTCCTTTGTAGGCAATCTGTTCTTCCTTTCTGGAAGCTTTCATATTTTTGTTTCGGAAGACCTTAATATTCACTGTAATTTGTCTAGCCTATGAGAATTTTCTGAAATATCTGTTTGGCACTGTGAGCAATTTCAGTCTGAATTTTTTTTATTTAATTCTGAGAAATCCTTAGATTCTTACCTGTATTTTCTCCTCTTTTTTCCCCCTCTGGAACCCCCCCCCCCCATAGTATTGATACTGGTATTTCTACCTTTGTCCTTCTAAAGTTTCTTTTATATTTTCTGTCTCTTCATCTCTTTCATCTTGAAAAATTCTGTTTGAGAATTCCTCAATTGGATCGTCCAGCTTACTGATATGTTCTTAAGTTATCAGTTCTTGTATCCAACCCATCAAGGTCCTTTATTTTAGATACTGATTTCTTTATATCCAGGATTCCAGTTGGATTTTTCTCTAGGACACTTTTGCAATTCATCTTTAAGTACTCTTTCCCCCCACCCCCCCCCACCCCTGAGTGGGATTAGGGACAGAAAGAGAGCAAGCTTGTGCATACATATGCCAGGAGAAGGGGCAGAAGGAGAGGGAGAGAGATCATCTTAAGCAGGCTACACACCCAGCTTGGAGCCCAACGCCGGGCTCAGTCTCAGGGCTATGAGATCATGACCTGAGCTGAAAGCAAGAAACAACACTTAACCCACTGAGCTGCCAAGGTGCCCCAGGTATTCTCTTTTCTTTAACAGGTTTATTATAACTTATTTTATATTAAATTTTAAAGTATTTTTAAGTAATGTCTATACCCAATGTGGGGCTTGAATACCCAACCATGAGATTAAGAGTTGCATGCCCCACCAACTGAGCCAGTCACGTGCCCCTACTTTTAAATCCTTGTTTTGTTTGGTCTAAAAGTTCGTCTCTAAATTATTTCATTTGTTGTCTGTCTTTTATGGCTGTTGTGTACTCTCAGATGTTATTATTATTCACTGGCCTTATATCTTCAAGATTTTGTTGCCAAGAAATAACTGGCAAATGATATACTTTTATTCAAATTATTTTTATATAAAACAAATTGGACTTAAAATTATCTAAATTTAGCAGGATATTTCAATGATTTTTAAAATTTCTCTTAAGAATAAAATGTTTTTGGGGCGCCTGGGTGGTTCAGTCAGTTAAGCGTCCAACTTTGGCTCAGGTCATGATCTCATGGTTTATGGGTTTGAGCCCCGTGTCAGACTCTGTGCTGACAGCTAGCTCAGAGCCTGGAGCCTGCTTCAGATTCTGTATCTCCCTCTCTCTCTGACTCTCCCCTGCTCACAATGCTTCTCTCTCTCTCTCTCAGAAATAAATAAAACATTAAAAAAAAAAAAAGAATAAAATGTTTTTCCTCAATAACTTGTTTAGTCTTGATTATACTAAGGTTATTTGTTACACTTTTTTTTTGGTAAGCAAGTCTGTGTTGCACTCCTATACCAGGCCTGTTATTAGGAAAGTGATCATCTGCAAGTTATTTGGTGGATATCAGTTACCTGGTTTAGGGCAGTGGAGGTGGGAATAGTTTCTGCCACCACCTTTAAGAAGGTCAGGTTGTCCTTTCATTAGACTAGACCCTGGCACTGCACCTTTTCTCCTTCTGCTTCTTTAGTGTTCATCCCCAGAAGCAACTCTGCGGTATTATGTATGTTCAGTCAGCCAGATTTATTTCATAATTACTTTTTTTTTTTTTGAGAGAGAGAGAGCACAAGCATTGAGGGGCGGAGAGAGAGAATCCCAAGCAGACTCTGCTCTGCCAGCACAGAGCCCAACACAAACTGATCATGACCTGAGGCGAAATCAAGAGTCAGACACTTAACCAACTAAGCCTCCAAGGTGCCCCCTATGTCATCTTTCCCCTCCTCCCCACCCTCCAGGTCATCTCTTCAACTGACCCTTTGAGCTTTCTTTCCTGCCATCCTTCACCAGGTCCTGTATCCTCATGACCGGGATAATAAATTCCTAGCCAAATTCTATAGTAGACATCACTAATTTATTACACGTTGTTTGCTTACCAAGCCCTGGGCATGCCCTCAAAATCTTCTCAGAACAATATTTCAGGGAGCCAATTAGAGTTACCACTAAAGATGATACCTCGTTGTCTTTCTGTTCTATCAGACTCTCTTTCCTTCAGGCTTTATTTGTTTTGAAGGATGAAAAGGAAATAAAGGAAAGCAAGTAGAGACGTTTGCTGATATCCAGCAGCCACTCTTCTGCCCTTCTCTCATTCCTCTTTTAGAGCCTTTTTTTCCTCTCCTATCCTTGTTTTTCTCTCTGTGCTGTTTCTGTTTCTCTCTACCTATTTACACTGGGAAATTAATACATGTATATTGAGCATATGGATTAGATTTTGGGAAATAATATTTATATTGAGCATATGAACTAGATTTTGATTCAGTATAGAATGTAAAGGGCATTTCTTTCTTTCCAAATAGTTTCACTACTTTAGTCAGTCGCTTGAAGTGATTTCTTATATATAATTATGTTTGGTATAACACCATGGTGGACATTTTTTTCTTATATTAGATTTTTTTAATAGAAAATTAAGTGTCACCAAATCTCTGGAAGGTGTTTGTTTTGAATGCCTTCTTCCTGGAACTAAGCAATGGTCACCTGCTGCTAAAAAAGAGATAGGAATTTGAGAAAGGACAAGATAGAAATGCTGGTAGGGGAAACAAGTATTGATTATTCTATTTTTGTTCCTGACTTAATTAATATCAACTAGATACTTTAAAAATATTAATGAAAAAGACAGGAGAAAGTGGAGCATCCTTAAGTGTGCCACCTATATGGCCTTTGCTGTAGTAAATAACTATAGCATTGTATTTGTTCTTCACAATCACTCTGTTCAGTGAAGGCATAGGCTTCATCCACTTATGAAAACCATGAAGGTTGAAAGGTAAATAATTTGCCCAGGCGAGTAAGTGATAGAGTTGGGATTCCACCTCAACTCTCTCTGACTTAAATCTTATACTCCTTCCAGTCTAACCATATAGGAAATTTTAGCAGATTTTATTTACCTTTTTTCCATAATGGATTTTATATCGTAGCCTTTTTAATTTGGGCAGTAATTGCATATAGACATATTCCAAAGTTTTATAGATGATTTGCACCACTGGCACCATGACTAAAATCATAGACTTCTGAGACAAATAGTTTTCTGAGCCCCTGAGGCAGTGTAGCCCAGTGGTGAAGGACAGTGGTTGAGCCTGGTGTCACATCCTGCCCCGCCACTGCCTTACTTTGTGCAAGTTTCTTAGATCAACATACAGAGTTGTTTTGAGGATTAAAACACATAGAATACCTAGTACCATGCCTGACAAATAGTAAGCACTTAAAAGGAATACTATCTATGGTATCGTTATATTTTTACTGTATTGTGTTAAATATCTGGCTTCTCCAGTCAGACTGGCCAAAATGAACAAATCAGGAGACTATAGATGCTGGCAAGGATGTGGAGAAATGGGCACCCTCCTACACTGTTGGTGGGAATGTAAACTGGTACAGCCCCTCTGGAAAACAGTGTGAAGGTTCCTCAAAAAATTAACAATAGAACTCCCCTGTGACCCAGCAATAGCGCTGCTAGGACATTACCAAAGGGATCCAGGAGTGCTGATGCATAGGGGCACATGGACCCCAATGTTCATAGCAGCACTCTCAACAATAGCCAAAACATGGAAAGAGCCTAAGTGTCCATCAACGGATGAATGGATCAAGAAGATGTGGTTTATCTATACAATGAAACACTACATGGCAATGAGAAAGAATGAAATCTGGCCATGTTGTAGCAACATGGATGGACCTTGAGGGTGTTATGCTGAGTGAAATAAGTCAGGCAGAGAAAGACAGCATATGTTTTCACATATGAGTGGATCAGGAGAAATTTAACAGAGCACCATGGGGGAGAAGAAGGGGGGAAATAGTGGGGGAGAGGGAGGGAGGCAAACCATGAGAGACTTGAATGCTGAGAACAAACTGAGGGCTGATGGGGGCGGGGAGAGGGGAAGGGGGGTGATGGGCATGGAGGAGGGCACTTGTGGGGATGAGCACTGGGTGTTATATGGAAACCAACTTGACAATAAACTATGAAAGAAAAAATATATGTATATAGTAATTAGATTTGATTATATAAAATTAAAATTTTAGTAATAAAAATATTGGCAATTTCATATGAAAAAATATCTGGCTTTTCTGAGAATTTTCACTAAGTTAACCCAGAAATTGCACACTACTCTAATGATATTTCCTACCCTCCTATGTTGTCACCTGTGGAGAGGTAACAAATATTACCTCTGCTCTTCATATTACTTTTCATGCTTTGGTTAAATATTATAATATATAATAACTACTATTTGAAACATCCTATAATATTTGAGTGTCTCCTGGTCAGGAATATTTGCCTCACCGTAGGATTTAAATTATTTCTAGAAAGATGCCAAAAAAGTGTGTTTGGGCAAAGGATACTTGATACAATAGTAGTAGACACTGAACACCAGTAGAATTTACTGGTGTTTTTGTTTTAACCTTCTATTGTATGAAAATGCAGAATCCATACTTAGTAATTAAAACATTTACTATCTCCTTTTCTTTTTCAGAAGATGAATAATCTTTCATTCAGTGAGTTATGTTGCCTCTTCTGCTGTCCACCTTGCCCTGGGAAAATTGCTTCAAAATTAGCATTTTTGCCACCTGACCCAACTTATACACTGATGTGTGATGAAAGTGGAAGCCGCTGGACTTTACACCTATCAGAACGAGCAGACTGGCAGTACTCTTCTAGAGAAAAAGATGCTATTGAGTGTTTCATGACTAGAACCAGTAAAGGCAACAGAATTGCCTGCATGTTTGTGCGTTGTTCACCCAATGCCAAGTACACTTTACTCTTCTCACATGGAAATGCTGTTGATCTTGGTCAAATGAGCAGCTTTTACATAGGACTGGGATCACGGATTAACTGTAATATATTCTCATATGATTATTCTGGATATGGCGCAAGTTCTGGGAAACCAACAGAGAAGAACCTCTATGCAGATATAGAAGCTGCTTGGCTTGCTCTTAGGACAAGGTAAATGGTGGTTGAGAATTACTTTCCACATTTATTATGACGCTTAACTAAAATTGTTTTATATAAAAAAAAAGAATAAAAGTAGTTTTTATAACAAGTTTTGAAGTTGTAAATAGAGATTATATTTACCAAAATATACCTGTGAAGAGTTAAGCTCTTAGAATGTAATTTAAAAATTTTAAAAACAGTATAAAGTTTTTAATACAGATCTCATTTGTATCTCTGAGTGCATGTGGGTGATTTTCTTTAAAATTTAAGCCAATGACAAGTTTTGGTTATAAACGTATTAGACTGTGATATAACAATCTTTATTCAGGGGCACCTGGGTGGCTCAGTCAGTTGAGGATCTGACTTTGGATTTCAACTCATGTAATAATCCCAGGGTTGTGGGATCAAGCCCCACATCAGGCTATGCACTGAATGTGGAGCCTGCTTAAGAGCCTCTCTCTCCCTCTGCCCCTTTCCCCTGCTTGCGCTCTTTCTTTCTAAAATAAAGAAAGGTTGATTTGAATAAGCAGTGGCTTAGCTAATCATTTACATGATCTGTTATTAAAAGTATAAGAGACTGGGTTTTTTTCATTAATTGTAAACCTGAGTCATGAGTTTGCATTATTTTCTATAGTAATCTCTTAGACAATGTGACTTAAAGATATCTTATTGGAACTATTTTTAAAGTATTCATTCTGTAAAAGTGAGATTTTTTTACCTTGCATTCTGGACTAATAAAATTAGGAGAGATGATCTTAAGCAAAAAAAAAAAAAAGTAATGTTATGATAAAGCATTTAAGCAAATTCTCTTACCGTGTCAGTTATTCTTTGGTTATAACAATACATTTTGGGGAACTAGAAATTGATTTAGTCTTCCCTAGTCTCCAAGATACTTAGAAATTTTTAATCAAATATATTGCAGTTTCGTAGACTTCAGGGGTTTTGTTCCATCAAATAGTTTGTGTAAAATAAATAAAGATACTTTAGCTCAAGTTATTCCTCATATTATCCACTGATAAGCTACCTGGCTCCCAAAGTATTTTAGACTAAAGCAAAAGGACTTAAATAAAATTTACAATTTCTAATTTAATGTTTAAATATTAATGGTTTCAGTTAGGGAGAACCTCAATTTTGTTAGTAGGCATAACATTTTTTAGAAAATACCTTGAGAAACATTTACTCCTCGGGACACCTTGGGGTCTCAGTGGGTTAAGCATCCAATTCTTGGTTTCGACTCAGGTCATGATCTCATGGCTCGTGAGTTCAAGCCCCACATCAGGCTCTTTGCTGATGGAATGGAGCCTGCATGGGATTCTCTCTCTCCCTCTTTCTCTGCCCCTCCAGGTCACTCACTTGCTCTGTCTCACACACAAAATAAATATGTTTAAAAAAAAACAAACAACAACAACATTTACTCCTCCAAGATATAATAAGACTATAGTCTCATAGCATAGTTCCATATAAAGGGGATTCTGAAATCATTTTAAATGATATGAAAACATACCTGATAATTAAAAAAAAATAGATAACGTAGTATAAGAAATAGGTAAAGAGTTGTGGAAGGGGCAGGGAATGATAAAAATTTATAAACTTAAAAAGTGCCTTAAATGACCAAAATCAAAATCCTCTCAGTCCTACAAACCAAAATAAATGAGTGCTCACTTTCTAGATCCAGCCAACTGAATGGAGTATAATACCTGCCAGGAAAGTATGATAATAGATATTTTTAATGACAGATTTATTGAGCTATAACTCACTCTTTTAAAGCACAATTTCAGTGGATTAGTACAATTTTTAAGGATGCTAAGTTAAGGCAGATAGCCTTCATTATTAGTGCTTCTCAATAACATGAAAAGTTTATTCAGCCAAAACATACTAGAATCCAATAGTGTTCTATGTTGATACAAAAAATAAATCCACTCTTGTAAATGGTTAACTTTTCCTTATTTTTCATCTTGTCTGAAATCAATTTGAAGGAAACTTTATGAAATGATTTCTAGTCTTGATTAATTCATCTTTTTAAACATCCTTAATGATCAGGGCGCCTGTGTGACTCAGTTGTTGGAGCATCCAAATTCAGTTCAGGTCACGATCTTCATAGTTCGTAGGTTCAAGCCCCATGTTGGGCTCTGTGCTTATAGCTGAGCCTGGAGCCTGCTTCAGACTCTGGATCTTTGTCTCTTTCTGCCCCTTCCCTGCTCATGCTTCATCTCTCAAAAATGAATGAATGTTTAAAAACTTATTTAAACATTCTTAATGATTGCACATACTTGAATGAGGAACAAGGGCAGAATAGGTACACATTTCTAAATAGTCCAACAGTCTTTGAGTTCATTATCTGTGTGCTATAATGGAAAAGGCACTGGACTGGGAGTCAGGGTGCCTGGGTTCTAATTATAGACCTGTCTGTAACTTACTCTGACTTTGAACATCTGCTCAGGAAGCAGCTGAACTAGATTAAATGGTCTCTAAAGTCCTTTCTAACTTGTACTGTTCTGAAATTCTGTTATTGCTTTGAGTTCTCTGCTAAACTGGCAGCTGCTTCTACTCTGGAGCCTTGCCATTGCTAGCATTAGCCTAAAATCCATAGTCACCACCAACAGTGCTGCGATTGAGCTAATGGCAGCTTTATGTTCATTTTCATAACATTTCTTTACTCCTATGAAATATGTACAGCCAGATCTTTGTGAAGAAAAGGTTTTTCTGAGATTACTTACATTTAGAAAATGTCTGGAGTAGATGGAACCCAACCTCTGGGACCTATCCAAATGCTTATATAGGACTGGTTGGAAGAAATTATGGAGAAGTCTATCATTACCTCGAAGGTTCAGAGTCTTGTGCCCCTGGAAAGGACCAGAGGAAGCACACAGGGTTTGTCTTGCTATTTTATCCATGTTCAGATACGTGGAAAGTCCCATAACCTTTTCAAAAGACCAGAGGCAGTTGTGCAAATGGCCCTTAGCATTCAGAAGTTATTTCTTTCTGATTTTTGAGTGGAAGGGCATATTTGATCTCACTCTAAACCTCAATTATTTATTTATTAGCTCCTGTAGCACCTCATTTCTACTTGGAATACTTTACAATTGGGACAGTTACACAATGGGCAGTAAATAGTGCCTGGAGCATAGTATATACCTGATACTGAATTAGTGAGTTGATATATTTAAATCTGCAGCATTTTTAAAGGGTAGAGGGAAGGCAGTTCTCTTGAGGTTTTATCATGAAGTCTATTCGTAATTAACTGAATCATAAGGTGTTTGGAATTCTCATTCATCTGCCTATCTTTCCAGTCATTAGTCCATTTCTATGAGCAAGTAAAGGAAAATTTCAGGAAAAATAGTAATTTGCTTTTGGCTAAAATGATACATATTTTTAATTCATTCCATAGAGTAGCTGTATGTCACAGGTTTCATCACTATGACCGACTTTAGAAAATAAAATGAGCCACTTTTAATATCTAGACAAAGAACTTTTGTTACATTGAATGGAAGATAGATGGTAAATATTAAGTTCAGCTCATTAAAATATTAGTGATATGTTCAGAGGTTAGTAAAAAAAATATACCATGTTGAATTGCGTAAATGATTTCATGAATTCCTTTAAGTTTAGAATTTTAAAAGACCTCAGCGATTATTTTTCCAAAAGGTATAACAGATGAAGAATAAGCTAAGAATACAGATATTATTGTAGCATTAAATATAATAATGATGGCTAAGAAATGTATATTTTAAATATAAATTTGTTGACATGGTCTCATTCTAAGTCATTCTGTTGTAACATTAAGTCCCTAGAAAATGATTGAATATTTCATACCAGTCCAACTCTCCACTTTTTTTTTTTTAAACTCCTGAACTTTGTAGATATGGCATTCGCCCTGAAAATGTGATTATATATGGCCAAAGTATAGGGACAGTACCATCTGTGGATCTTGCTGCTCGCTATGAGAGTGCTGCTGTTATTCTTCATTCTCCTTTGACCTCGGGAATGCGAGTCGCTTTTCCTGATACTAAGAAGACCTACTGTTTTGATGCATTCCCAAAGTAAGTATCAATATTCAGAATTGTTTAATTCAAAGAAATTTTGTGGCAATTTTTTTCATCATTTAAGGAATCCATAATACATTCAGCCATGAGCTTTTACTTTACCTATATTATAGAAATTGTGAAAAATTAATTTTTGAAGAGGATGGTGACAGGAGACCGGTCAGCAGGGTGTAATGTTTGAGCAGCAGTAATCCTGGTGAAAAGTGCTGAAGGCCTTGTACCCCAGAGGGTGGCACTAGTATTAAAGATAAGGGAAAGAATTTGAGAAATGCAATTGACAGAACTGAGTGTCCGTGAATATAGGATGCTAAATAAGAGAACCTGAGTGTAATTCCCAGGGTTCTGACTTGAGCTGCTAATGGATGATGATACAATTCAGTGAGACATAGTATTGGAGGAGTGGAAGTGTAGAGGGGAAATGAGACATGTGTGCCTAAAAATTAGTGGATGGTGTCTAATTTAAAGTATTGCCACCGTAGAGGCACCTGGGTGGCTCAGTCAGTTAAGCGTCCATTTGGCTCAGGTCATGATCTCACCACGAGCTCAAGCCCCACATCAGGCTCCGTGTTGACAGCACAGATCCTGTTACGGATCCTCTATCTCCCTCTCTCTCTGCCCCTCCCCAGCTCATTCACTCGTTCTCTCTCTCGTTCTCTTGCTCGCTCGCTCTCAAAAATAAAATTGAAAACATGGGGGAAAAAGATATTGCCACTGCAGAGTCTGTAAACACACAGTATTATACAAATTTGAAAGAAGAACTACTTCTCCTGTTTCTCAAGGCAAGACAGATGGAAATTTCTCCAGTCTTCATAATTGGGGGGGAGGGAGAAATGGTTGGCCCATTTTTCTCAAAGGGAGAAGGCAAGAAGTGAGAAACTGGCAAATTTCAGTCTCACTTCTTTTCTCCATTGGCAGCTATATAAAGAATTTTTTTGTGAATGATAGATGGGCCCAAGGCCAGAATCCTCACTTGCTTCTTCATAAAAACAGCGAAGGTCATTTCAAAAGCAAATTTTTTCGTTCTTAGTCAGTAAGGGATCATTTTTGTAGGGAAGCTAATGTTGGGGGCATGTGATCTTATCACCAAAGCAGGCTGTGGGAGGGTTTCTGTTTTTACATTAGTTTAGGGTTTGTTTTTGTTTTAGATAATAGTATATTGGAAGGTGTGCATTACATTGCTTCTGTCTAACTGAACAGTAGGAATGATAGCGAGTGTTTGGGGGTAATGCTGTTGCCAACTAAATTCTCTGTCCAGCTCCCTATTCCATTTCTGCTGTACCAACAAAGAAAGCAGCACTTGACTGCAAACTGCCCGAAAAATCATAATTTTTTAAGTTTAAAATTTGTAAGGCCTCTTTATGTAGTTTTTGTCTCTATGTTGCCTTTTAAAAATTGCTTTGATCGCTGATATTTAAAATGTTCTCTGATATCTGATAATTCTTAGTTGTCTGTTTCTGTGTAAGAGGAACTAAAGAGCTGACCTGAAGCAGATGATTAAGGCTTGTTGACTGTGAATTTTACTATACAGTGATCAGTTCAAATCAATTAGTCGGGATTCCACCCCATGCCACTATTTTCTCCATATTTCCTCTTAAGGTGGATGTAGTCTCCAACAAAGATTCTTTCTGAAAGTCCCCTCCGGGGGCTCAAGTCAGTTAAGCACCCGATTCTTAATTTCAGCGCAGGTCATGATCTCTCAGTTCATTAGATCAAGCCCTGAGTCAGCCTCCAAGCTAACAGTGCAGAGCCTGCTTGGGATTCGCTCTGTCTCTCAAACTGAATAAAATAAAAGTCCTCCCTGGAAGATTGAAGGCCTGGCTGCCAGCCTTCTGGGAACCCAGTACAGAAACTAGCTTCATAGTAGCAGTATGTGTGTGTTTACTTGCTCTTTATAATACCCATGCTTTAAACTGCACCTGGCAATCCCTTAGTCCACAAACCTTCCAATTTCGGATGGAGTGCAGCTACCAGACTACAAAAAGAAGGGGAAAGAAACGAGCGGAGAAGGACCTACTTCTTAAACAAACTGAACAAATTCTGTAGTCTCCCATCACCTGCCTTCATCCCTGGTCAATTCCTAACTAACCTTTGGCTGTATGCCGTGGTATAAATTGGGTTGTTTCTTCACTTTACCTTCTATCCTCTGAAAATTGGTTTTCTCTTATGCTTTTGGTTTGTTACCCAGCTCTAGAATTACTCCCTATTTGGGGGAGTTGATACCCTAGGACAAAAAAAACACGTTTTGCTGTCATTTTAGGAGATTAAGAGGAAGAAAATACAAGTGCAGAGATACAAAGTTAGCACATATTTGAATGGTCCTTAGTTTCCTCTCCTTCCAACCTAAGTTTTCTCTGTGGTCCACATTGTAGAAAGGTACTGTAGATCGACAGTAACCATTGAATGATTCCACTGAAGCAGAAGTGCCTGAAGTTAGCTTCCTTAGCTAATCTTAAGAAAGGGAGTATGTAAAGTGACTTTTAAATCTTATTTGAAATCCAAAAAGCATCTGTTACATATGGTTTGATTCAGCAACTATTCTGATATTTGAATGATCTGTCAGTATGTAGCACAAGAGAATTTGTTTTATGTTCCTTTTCATAAGCAATTCGTTGACTTCCTTCTGCCCTCTCTTCTCGTGCAGCATTGACAAAATCTCTAAGATAACCTCTCCAGTATTAATAATTCATGGGACTGAAGATGAAGTCATTGACTTTTCACATGGCCTCGCCTTGTTCGAGCGTTGCCAAAGACCTGTGGAGCCCCTGTGGGTTGAAGGGGCTGGTCACAATGATGTGGAACTTTATGGACAGTACCTCGAAAGGTTGAAACAGTTTGTGTCACAGGAACTGGTAAATTTGTAAAATATTCTGTAAATTTACATACTGGGTATTCTTTCCTTGCTGAACTGCACTCTTTGGTAAATAACATAAAACCTGAAGGTTTTGTTTGCAAATCATGTCAGTTGCCTTCATAAATGTACAGATAATGATTTGTTAACAGACTTAATGAAGGTTTTAATTACCAGAACTAGAAACTGGAAATAACAGTATCATGCAGTCAGGCTGTGTAATTTATATTTTTTCTGTGAATTTTTTTTTAAACATCAAAATGAGTACTGTATGAAATTTTAATTCTATAAAATCAAATGCTGTAAAAGTATTGCCAAATGCTTTTGCATATCAGAAACAGATTTATAAATATTTTTAAAACATCTCAATGTACTAAATCTTATCCAGGTATACAAATATAATATTCTTTCAATAAAAAGCTGTATATCTAAAACAAATCAAGTACTCATAGTAGAATAAACTGTATGAAAACGTGCAAGTTCACTAGAGATGACCTAAGCCCTGTTGTACAGGGATAAGGGTTTAAACACTTATTATATTGTAAAATACATTGAATTTTCTGTATTCCCTGGTTATCATACATTTTCTCCTTTAAAAAAAAAATGTAAGTCTTAATTTTTATGCCAACTGTTAATTTACCGACTAGTTACCTTGTAAATGAGAAGTCATGATAGCACTGAAATTTTAACTAGTTCTGATTTATAGGTTTGGTACTGTGAGGCAACTACTTAAAGTTCTCATTTTTGTTTTTTAAAAGGCATTTAGAGCTTCAAGAATGATTTTTGTATGCAATGTTGTTTTAAATTTTGACTAATCTCATAGAATTGCTGTACTCTTCATTATAAGAAAACCTGAGAGCCCGTTAGATGTTCCTCAAGACCACAAACAGGCTGGCTATTGGGTCAATTTTCACTTTGGCTATTTTTAATAGAACCTGTTGTTTTAGATTACTATCAGAGAATTTCATGGGTTTACTCCTGATACAAGAAATAAGAGAACATTTAATTCATAACTTTTATATTAACCGATGTAGTAAAAAACAAAACTCACACATGAAAACTAAGTTGCCTTTCCTTGAATGAATCTTGCCTGAATAAAGCAATGAAAGAAAAAGAAAAATAAAATTAATGGTATGTAGTCTAATTTGTAAATGAATGAATATTGAAATAATACACACTGTGGATATATTTTAAGGCCTTATGTAGTTTTAATTGTTCTGCTTGTTCTGTGGTTATGTCTAAGACTATAGCATATGATTCTCTTCAAAGTATATCAAGTATTGTGAATGCTTTGGTTCAGATGTGTCAAATTAACAGTAAAACAACAAATATACCACCCAGCTGTGCCTATTTGCCTTCTTCCATGTTTCCCATCCCTAACCATAAAATCGGGGAAAAAAATTACCATTTATCTTAATAAAACATAGTTCTGTAGTTTTCTAAATTTTATCATTTCTTTTTTTGGAGAGATTTTTTTTTCCTTCTCAAGATTGTTACAGAACGTGTACAATTCCTATTTTTGTACAACATATACACCAGAGTTTAGCTAAGTCTTTTAATTACCTGTTAAATTTAAAATATTGAACATATCAACTGAGTATTCATTCATTCATTCATTCGTTCAGTATTTATTCAGTCATGTAGAACCCTATGCCAGATATAGACAGACATCAACCATGTCCTCCTAGATTTCACAGTGTATGTAACCAAGGACGCAGACACCTTATTGCACAAGTAGTACTATTTGATAATGGCTGAAGGATATTTGTAGCTTATTATAAAAGGTAAAATATACTCTTGGGAGGGGCTCATGGGGAAAAGGGCAAGGAAGAATTTGACCAAGAAGTGATCTTTGATCTGAGCTTTAAGGATGGCTAAGAAATGACTAAACTTGGTGGCCAAGGGGAATCATCGCTGCCTGAAGGGAACAGTATATGGAAGCCTAAAGGAAAGATAGTGCATTTGAAATGTAAAAACTGGCCAGAGGTCAAGGGGAATGGATGGCATAAAGATGAGGCTGGCAGATTAGTTGGAGGCAGTCATACCTGGTATCATGGACCCTGATCATCATCATCCTAGACACAATAGAAAGCCATTGATAGAATATGAAATTGCATCTGTCAAAAGTTTATAGATGAAAAAAATAACTGGATATTTTTAGTTTGCTAGAAATAGCATGTGAGCCTATTATAATTGGCTATAATCTTAGGGTGGTGAAGAATTCATCATGGGGAGATAATCTTATACAAAATGCCAGTCAAACCACATCTGTAAATATTAATTTCATTTCAGGATCCAGTGGAAGGATATTCACAAATTAGAGCAAATCCTGGAGTGTTTTACCAAATTGGAAAGAGTCCCACAAACTAAAACCCAAAGACCAACTGAAGAATTATGTAACAAAGGAAGGATAGCTATTTTCAAATATTTGAGAGACATGTACAGTTGATTGAGTAGAACTAGGGTGAAGTTGCAAAATGGCAGGTTAGAGTTCAGTGTAAGAATGAACCGTAGGGTTATTTGTCCATGACGGAAAGGGATTCCCTCCTAAAGGTCAATGAGGACCTTGCCAATAGAACAGAGCAGAAGCTGAATGACATCTGTCACATATTTACATGTGAAACTGAACTAGGTGGACTGTGTAATGTCCCCTTTAATGAAAGATTTTATATTCCATTTCTTTTTCTCCCACCTTCTCAGCACTGCCCGCCCTGTGACACCCGGAAGACAGTATTCTGTAGTAGAGCTGACAATCAGATCTGGGTTGGCTTCTGAACTGACATCAATTAAATCTGTGGCCTTACCAAGTCACCTCTTTGAACCATAGTTTCCTCACTAGAAATGAAGAGATGGAATTGATCGATTGATGTAATCCCTTAATGTTTCTGATATAATGAAAATTGCAACCCCATTCATCTGTCATGACTCCTAAAAAATTTTAACTTGTAGTCTTGGATAACTCAACTCTGATATTTGGCTGTTGTGCATGCCACCATGGGGCAACTTGGATGGTAACACTAATCCTGGGGAAATGGTCGGCAGCGTACATAACTCCTGCCAGAGGATATCTTCAAGTACATAAAGCAAAACAAGAGCCTTAATAAATTGGTTTATAATCTACACACTTTTCCAGACTTCTAACTTACTTAAACTTACCAGTTCTTTATCCTGCCTAAGAATATATTACAGTAGTTTTTCTTGGTGATATCTATAGATATATAGGTATTGCTCACTTTATAAATGCTTAAAAAATGAAAATATTTTAAATTGTAAACTGACATCTTTGTTCTATAAATAGAATGTTCTCGGTGCACTTAGTCATTCTATATGACAAAAACGTTACTTTTCAAGAACAAGCATTATGGAAAGCCAGACAAACTCATAAATCTTAGAAACTTTAGATATGAAATAGCATAAACCCTTCATTTTGCAGATGAAGAAACAAACCTAAGGAACAGAAGTAACTTTGCCAAAATCTACAATATAATTGTCGTCAGTTGTACTCCTTATCTTCTCTTCATCAAATTTATCTGCACTAATATACCAGTGATCCTTTTGAATTATGTCATTTCCTCTTTACTATTAATCATGATTTTATCTTTCAGATGACTCTTAGATTTCTCCTTATCAGTGCATTATTCATTGAATACTAAGTTGGTATCTTGTGCATTTCACATTTGTCAAATTAATGATTTGTGTATTTAACACTAACTCATTTCACTAGGCTCAGTAACAGCTATTTGTTGAAGATAGTAACTTTGGTCACATGAATAAACAGGTATTTACTTAAGCAGCACATTTACTACGAAGTATAACATTAAGAAGAAGCAATTAGGTTGAAAAAAAATCGAAGCAGTTATTACTAGTTGGTGATGCGTGGGCTTTTTTATTTTTTGCCTTAATTTTAAACAGGCATTATGTTCAAATACTGTGGTAGCATGTTGCATTTTAATGATAGTATACATACCAAATGCCCAGTAACCAGAAAACTATACATTTGATACTTGGGATAGCGTTTTGAGTTACAATATGCAGAATGGAAAGAGGAGACATTTGTCTACTGCATCGCTAATAGATGGCGTGTCTGACACAATAGTTGAGTAATGCTAAGGAAGGAAGCCTGGAAATGACCCACTAGACAGGAGTTTAAAAAAAAAAAACAGGAAGCAAAGCATAGAGTCTTTATGTCAGTGAACTAAAAGTGGTTAAACTGGTTCTTTCATTAGAAACCAGATGGACATGAAATTATTTTACTCCTCTTTATCTTGTAGGCCATGTGCTAGATTGGCCTTGACACAATTATAGCGCTTCTAGAAGAATGTTTTAGTAATGTGTGTGCCTTAAATGAAACCCTTATATTAGAAAAAATAAATTAAAATCATATGGGGAAATGCTGTTTTTAAGTAATTTATGGTGTTTGTATTTGCCGATGAAATACAAATATCAGCAGTTGTCCTATATTATTTTAGGATTGAGGGCTGTTGGTTTTTTCCCTCCTCAAAATCACTACTTAGGGCCGTATATTGAAATGAGGAGATAAGAAGGGTAGCACGTAGGTTTATAGATATAGGAGTATCTGAATTTTAATTTTTTAAATGTACCTGCTCTATTCCAAATTATCCAAAGTATGGTGGATTCATTGAATTACTATTTTCCATTATAAGTCTTAGATGAAACTTGGGTTTTTATCTAAACAATTTCAGGGGCGCCTATGTGGCTCAGTTGGTTAAGCATCCAACTTTGGCTCAGGTCATGATCTCGCAGTTTGTGGATTCGAGCCCCATGTCAGGTTCTGTGCGGACAGCTCAGAGCCTGGAGCCTGTTTCAGATTCTGTGTCTCCCTCTCTCTCTACCCCTCCCCTGCTCATGCTCTGTCTCTCTCTGTCTCAAAAATAAACTATTTTTAAAAAATCTTTTTAGGGGCGCCTGGGTGGCTTAGTTAAGCGTCCGACTTTTGCTTAGGTCATGATCTCGCAGTTCGTGGGTTCGAGCCCCGCGTTGGGCTCTGTGCTGACTGCCAGCTCAGAGCCTGGAGCCTGTTTCAGTCTGTGACTCCCTCTCTCTCTCTGACCCTCCCCTGCTCACGCTGTCTCTCTCTCTCTCCTAGAAATAAATAAAACATAAAAAATAGATAAATCATAAAAAATCTTTTTGAACAGTTTCAAATTGTGTAAATATATTCAAACTTAAAATGGGCAAAGTCAGGGTCGTATAGATTGCTTCACCAAAGTTAAAGATTTTCCTTTTTTTTCTTTTTTAAAAACTTATTTAAAGGCCTTTTGGGGCGCCCGGGTAGCACAGTCAGTTAGGTGTCCAACTTCGGCTCAGGTCATGATCTTGTGGTTTGTGGGTTCGAGCCCTGCATGGGGCTCAGTGCTGGCAGCTTGGAGCCTGAAGCCTGCTTCAGATTCTGTGTGTGTCTCTCTCTCTGCCCCTCCCCCGCTTGTGCTCGCTCGAGCTCTCTCTCTCAAAAGTAAATAAACATTAAAAAAATAAAAGCCTTTTTTAAGGGCTTCTGAAATCAGGATCCCATGATAAACCAAAGAGAAGTAACTCCAAATAAGTTTTTAGGCTGGCTGTCAGAGTAGCAAATAAAAGGATTCCTTGTATTTGGGTAATGTTTTTGGGGGGGGGGGGGGATGGGAGATGGTGGTTTGGTACGGAATGTAACAAACTGTATAGTATCTGAAACTTTATTTCCTTGAGTCCCAAGTCTAATAACAAGTATTTCCTAAGCAATGCCTACATTTTACATCTGTTAATGTTACACAACAATGCATTGTTAACAATTATTACTTTACCATCTGTGGTCATTTCCTCAGCTCATTACAGCCTTGCTGGCATTCGCCTCGTTTTTGCTGTTGGCAATTACGCATATATTACACTTCCATATGTTATAGGCCCAATAATAGGTTATAGTTGACCCTTGAACAAGACAATTATAAATTACACAAGTCCATTTTTGCAGATTTTTTTCAGTGAATACAGTACCATTTATTTTCCTTATGATTTTTTTAGTTTTTTATTTTTATTTTATTTCTGAGAGAAAGAGAAAGAGCACAGGCTGATGAGGGGCAGCTAAGAGGGGACAGAGGATCCAAAATGGGCTCTATGCTGTGAGCAGAGGAGCCCAATGTAGGGTACGAACTCAAAACCCACGAGATCATGACCTGTGCCGAAGTCAGGTACTTGACCAACTGAGCCACACAGATGCCCCTATTCTCCTTATGATTTTCTTAACATTCTCACTTCTAGCTTGCTTTATTGTAAACATATAGTACATAATACATATATAAAATACATGTTAATCAACTATTTTATTGGTAAGTCTTCCCAAGCT